GGATGGTTTGGGCCGTGATGAGCTATGGATTTGATGGGAGTACAAATCATGTAGAGTGGTTGGGCCATGTTATGTTGGTGGCTTGATTTATAGGATGGAACATGAGTTGGGATGGTGGGCTAAGATGGGTGAGATAAGGTAAGTGGAGTGGGAATGGGTTGTATGCATGGGTTATGGATTAAAGACACACAAAGGTTCATATTAGGTCATTGTGGGTAAGTTAAGATTGGCTAAAGGAGGGACTTGGATGGGCGGATTGCGTTGAAGGCTGTGGTGATGGACAGATTTTCCTAATGGGCGGGTTGTGGCGTTTGTCTAAAGTTATAAGGTGAAATTATTGAGAAAGTGAGAGCAAGAAGAGATGGACTTATAGTGGGATATACGGTGGAGATGCCTTGTACTTACCGGAGAGATTGATGTTGGATGTCTTGCTGCATTGGGAAAATGTTTTCAACAAAGTTGACATTTCGTGAGATGTAAAATTTTTTTGTGATTGGATCAAAACATTTACATGCTGACTAACTTGAGGAGTATCCTAGAAAAACACAAGGTGTTAATTGTGGTTGAAGTTTATATTTTGTATAAGGACCAAGCCACGGATAGCACAAACATCCAAAAAATTTTAGACGAATGTATTTGGGAGTGCGGTGAAAAAAAAGTTGATAAGGTAACTTAAGTTTAAGTGCTAGTGTTGGAAGACGAGTTTATCAAGTAGGTAGCGGCTTGAAATACAAAGGACCAACAACAAGATGGTAGAGAGGTAGTATAAAGCGAGAGAAAAACTTGTCTCTACAATGTGTCATATGTTTTCCTTCGAAGTGCCATTATGTTCGGGGGTGTAAAGAGGGGTTGTAAAAAGGTTTCAAAAGGATTTTTTCTACTAGTGTTTTGAACTCGTAGAAATAAGATAGAGACATCGATTTTTTTCGATGGGATAAAACCAAATGTATTTACCGTAATGATTAACAAAGATTATATAATATTTAAACCCATCGATGGACAAATCTGTTAGGGCCCAAACATTACGATAAACAAGTTCAAGTGGTTGTGAACTATGTAAAGAATTTTTTAAAAAGAAAGATGATGACTTTTATTCGAGTACACATGAACTATAATAAAATTTAGATGATGAAGAGGAATATAAATTTAAATTTCTAAGCATTAAGAGCAAAGCGAAGAATTGGCACGTCCGGATGACCAAGGTGTTGATGCCATGTCGCTAGCGAAAATGTAGTAGCATGGTGAATTTATGGACCGATCGGTGATGGTAGGTGATAGATGTCATTGATGTTCTCCCCGCAAAGTAGAAGCGCCACCGTGCGTAGATCCTTCACATAAAAGTAAGAGGGAAAAAATTCAAGTGAAACACGATTAGTTTTGCAAAATTTAGAAACGAGAGATTAGATTTGTTTTAATGAAAGGAGCATAAAGTATATTACCTAGGAGAAAGGAACGATTTTTGTGATTAAGTATGGTGGTGCCTATAGAGGAGATTTTTAAATCCGTACCATCACCAATACCGATCTCATCTCGAGGCACCATAATCCGAATAAGAGGCCAAATTTTGCACTCTACCGTAAACATGATGTGATGCTCCGGAGTCAAATAATCAAGGTTGAAGCTGCATTCATGTCAATGGAGACCACATTGACTATGGGTGTTGAAGAAGTATGTTGAGCATTAGAGCCTATAATTATATTATTTGTTTTGAGAAATTTAGCCGAGTTGCGGCAATCGGTGGTGAGGTGGCTCGGTATCTCACAAAAGTTACAAAATGAAGCCGACTTTCGTTGGAGGCCTTTGGATGCTTGGACGTGTGTGTTGCCAGCGGGGCAAGATGGAGATTGATTGGGGCCATGGCTTCGGGATTGTCATGTTGGCCGAAAGGAGCCATGCTTCGCATGGGTGTTCATTCGATTTTTCGGTTCGGCTTTTGGTATTTTTTTTTGTTTTTGGTTAACTAAATTGGCTAAAACAAAAACCAAAATCGAACCAAATTGTTGTTCGGTTTTTCGGTTAAAAATCAAATTTTTTCGATTTGGTTTTTCGGTTTTCGGTTAAAAACCGATATTTTTTTTTTTTGGCTTTTTTCTTCTAAAAATCGAATTATTTTGCTTTTAAAAAATATCAAACTTGTATAATCAAAGATTGCATATTTCACATTTGATTTTATAAGAAAATTATGTATGATTATTATTATTTTTCTATAATAAATATGTTTCTATTTATATTATAAACTAAATTAGTTGGGCTTCTCATTATTTTTTCAATCACGCTATAATTGGTTTTTTATTAATTTTTCATATTCTTTTTTTTAATCTATTTATTTTGTGCATATTTTATTGTTGAATATATAATATGAAAAATTCAATTTTTAATTTATGTTTGTGCCAATTTTAATACAAGGAGACAATTTTTTTTCATGAGGTTTTAGGATTCACCTATAAATTTGTGTTTTCATAAAGAATTTCTTTATCATAGTCTTTTTTTTATTTTTTTGTGAGTCAATATAATATAATAAATTATTTTTTATTTCAATAAATAATTAATGAAAATATTTCTATTTTAAGTAGAAAAAAAATCATTAAAGCTATTATTTTTTTAGTTAAACCCATAGGTGCGTCTTTGATTTTTTTTTTTAAAAAAAGAGTTTGAGTATGTGTTTAAAAAAGAAAAAAACTAATTCGATTTTCGATGAAAACCGAATTTGAAAAAAAAATCGAACCAAACCGCAATAATTTTGGTTTTCGATTTCGTTTTTTTTTAATTTTTTTAAAAAAACCGAACCAAAATTGTTAATTCGGTTCGATTCGATTCGGTATTTCGGTTTTAACCGAATAGTGAACACCCCTACATGCTGCAATCTGGAATTCCAGATGGTGTGAACTAAAGGTATGCGTGATGTGTAATGGGCTGTTACTAGTGTGAGTGATGAGCTACTGTTTTGTTGCTGCTAGAGCTATCTTTCATACTCCTCTAGTTTGTCAAAAAGTTCATCAAAGGATATTACTGTGTCACGTATACGGACAACAGCTGCTATATGGGAGAATTCTTCATCGATTCCTTTTAATACATGTATGATGAGTTCTTCTTCTGCTATGGGGCTGTCAACAATAGCAAGAGCATCAGCAGTAGCTCTGACTTCCTATAGATATTTAGCTATGGTGCAAGTACCATAAGGATTGTCATGGAGTTGCTCTTTTAAGAACATGATATGAGAACAGGATTCGTTGGCAAACATGACAGAAAGCCTGGACCATGCCTAATGTAAAGATGAGACTGTGGAAATATGTGATTGGATTTCAAGGACACAACTTCCTAGTATAGTGTGCAGGATGAGCTGGTCTTGCCTGTACCAGGTGAGATATGTTGGGTTGGTAGTGGTTTTGGTTGTGTCTTTGGGATCCAAGATTTGTTTCAACGGGATGATAAGCCATCAATATGACTGAAGAGGTTGTAGCCAATAAGTGTAAAATATAGTTGAGTGCGCTATACAGAGAAGTTGGACTTGATAAGTTTGGTGGGAAGATGAGTGGGAGCATTGAAGGAAAAAATTTGATTTTCAATGGTGGAAGAGACCATGGATCGGTTTGTGAAGCTTTTAAGCTATGTAAGGCTCTGATACCATAAAGGAATTTTAACGTAGCAAATGTTAGAATAACTTTATGAAAATATATCGTAACATGGAGCCAAATTTAACAAGACAAAGAATCACATGACTTTTGTACTGTATATGTATTTATATGAAAAATGATACATCCTATTGATGAGCTAGATATCGACTCATTACATTATTACCTCACAAAAATCCCAACTCTGAGAAATTTCCTCGAAACTTCCTTGTAGGCCCCACGGTTCCTTCTAATTCTCCAGTTTCCACGAACGTCCGGCCAATGATGATGCACTAAAATCCAAAATCAACTTCCTCCCTCGGATATTAATTTGACCTCCCCACCACATGATCGCATTGAATTTACTAAATTAAATTGATTTTTGGTTTAACTTAATTAATTTTCTTGTTGTGATATATATGAGATGAGATGAAAGGGCTAATGTATCCTTGAAATAATGTGTACAGTTTAATTTAATAAAAGTAAATTAAAGTTCCGATAAATATTTAATTGCACCGGGTTGTGATTTTTTTTATAGTTAGAGCATTTTATAAATCTAGCTCATAATTAGTGGTTAGACAATAAAAAAAATTAATGATATAAACAAATATATTACTAAAATGGATCAAATTGACTATCACTACAAAAATAAAAAACTACTTTGAACTCTTTTTGTAAGAGAGATTTTTTTAAGTTCAAACACTTTACGGGAAAAAAAATATCTAAACCCATAATCTTTTACAAATACAAAAATCTCACCACAACTATAAACCTGTTAAAAGAGTTGCTTTAATTTCTTTTTAGTTTCTAAATTTAATAATATTGTAGCTCTCTTTATCAATTGAATTTAATTAATTATAGCTATCATTATTGAAAATAAAAGAAAAATAATTTTAATATTGTATGATCCAAGATCGAACTGAGGTATGTATATTAAATTTTTTTTTTTTTTTTGGCGTAAATTAACAATGTTTCTATAATATTGTAGTTATGTCCTCTTTCTTTTGTTTTGCATCGTATAGTTTTTTTTCTTGTTAGAAAATTTTACATCATATAGCTATTATGCCATTATTCTTTTTTTTTTTTTTAAGGGTATATTATGTCATTGCAATCATGGGCATATTTATCCAAACGAAGTAACCGATGCAGTAATTTGTCCTGAGATATTTATATTTTGCGAGTACGCTTTGGACAGTAAAGTCATTGAAGTATTCTTAATTTCAACTTTATAAACCCAATCTGGAGACTGAAAGGTTCCACAACAATACTGTTTAATTCTTTTGAGTGCTTTCGCTGATTATCATGTCCATTTTTCGGCCATTTGCTATCTTACAATATTAAAACAAAGATCCAACTTTCTTTTCAAGATTCCTTGGAATATAAGCAACTATGGGATTACCCATGGTGGCAGTAGCCAAGCTCAACCTTCTATTATCTACCTCCCACACCGGAACATCCTTGGTTACTTGGTTGCTATGCCCTTATGCACTTAATCTGACCTTCAATGTCAGGCTTCTTCGCCGAGTTTACACCGATCTGCTCTACTCATCAAGGCTCTTCTTGTTTCAGGTGAGTCAAATCGCCTTTGATACTGATCAACCTGCAGCTCCAGCTGGCAATAGCTCCAGATTGGGAAGAGTTCTAAGGTTAGTTTATCAGAGGGTAACAAGAGCAAGAAGGTCGCCGACCACACAAGATGATGAGGATAATTTCCACGCCCTCTCCATGTTTTCACTTTAGTTAAAAATGGTGATGGAAAAAAGTAATGGTGATGATTTTGCACCACTAATGAAGTCCAATATTAGTGATTGTACGACTTTAAGCTTTTCCTATTTTAGTCTTTTCGCTTTCGTTTCTTCATCTTCTTTTAAGTGCCGGCCCTAAAGTGGCCCAGCTGGTCTGTTCGTAATAGAAATCAATTCAATTACAGTATAATTTTCTGCGCCGATCAAGAAGCTCTATATTGCCCAGTTATTTAATTTTGTTGTTATATCTTCAAGACGAAAATAATGTAGCTGTTGTCGACGAAATTTATCTCTCTTTTTCTATCTTTTTTATTTCATTCGTTTTTCTAACTTAACCGAAGAGACATCTGCTTAGCTTTGTTCTTCCTTTTCTGGATTTTTATTTTAAATCTTTTATTGATTAAATAACATATTTTGTACACTTTTTTGTCAGTACTCTTTACCGAGGAAACTTAATTAACAAAAAACAAACTAAACCAAAACATTTATTATTCATTAGTTTTATTTCAAATGTTATTCAGTAAGACTCATATGTACTGTTTGCATAAACTCATATGCATTATCCTTATCATTTGCAGGAATTTTTTTTTTTAGTTCTCAAACTTTTTAAAATATTTATTATAAATTTTTTGGTAATATTATATTTTGATCCTTCCTTTTTACGCATTATTTTTTGATCTGTAATTTTTTTTATTTTGATCCCTCTTTTTTTTTTTTCATTTTTTGGTCCTTGCTTTTTTATCTGATTTTAATTAAAAATTTTATGGCTAAAATATGTTTGAAAGAAAAATTTACAAAATAAGCTTTTAACTAAAAATTCATTGATTTTGATATTTTTCTTACGATAGCATAATTTTTTAGTTAAAAAATCGATAAAGATAAATAAATAATGCTTTTTAATAAAAAAAATATGAAAATATAAAAAATAATTAGTCAAATACAAAATTTTGATTAAAAAATTAAAAAATTGAATGAATTTTTATTTAGTTTTGATTTGATATATTTTGATAGAAGTTCAATATAACACAAAATATTAAATTGAAATAATTTTATGTGTTTTGTCGGACCAGCAATGTAACGCAAGTTAAAAAAAAACTAGCATGCAACTAATTAAGATTCACATATAAGGCCTTATTACATGGGCATTCGCAATTATATATTGATCTACACACGGAAAGAAAATATTAATAAACATTAGCTAATGTGAGTATTAGAGCTTTCTTTGTCTACTGATCAGATCTACTAACTAGAAGAAATGGTGCTATTTGAACAGTCGATCCCCTTGATTAGTATTGTCTACATGAAATTCTTAATAACTTAGCAAGAGCATGTAAATATCAGCATCCATCAATTCACCACCCATGTCTAACATCGACCCAAATTGCAAGAACAACGGCAATTTGAGGAACTGTTTTTTATAAGTTCCAGGGATTTTCTCTCTCTGTTTTTTTTTTTTTCATTTTCATTTCTCGTTTCAGTTTATTTTTTACTTTTATTTCAGGATGAGATTTATATATATGTTGATAAACATTAATATGCTAAAGTTTATATGAATGACACTTGTCCAGCACTTAATTTGGTAAGGTCGGAATTCAATGTATTGAGCCACTTAGATACAACAATGATAAATTTTGTGGATTTATCAAAAACTAGAAGATGCATAAGAATTTTTCACTTGTAACATATATATATATATGCAGCAAATGAACATGCATGTCAAAAAATCTACATACATGTTTCCTTGTAATGAACTCAAAGCATAATACATCTAACCTTTTTTTTTCCCCTTTTCTTTGAGATTAATTACAAAATGTTTCTGTTACTGAACTGATGCATCTATCCTTGCAAAAGAGGAAAAGAGGATGAACTCATGCATGCTAATTATAGAAACCAATTGGGGACGTCTTCGGTTATAATTTTTTATTTACACCTAAGAATTTCAGTTCCAATCTTGGAAAAAATATAAGTACAGAAATTTAAAACTAGATAAAGGTTACCCTTAATTTATTGTGCAAATCAAGGCCTCTGTTACATAGAAAAATAGATCTATGTAACATTATACTAAATTGATTCCTCCAACAGGATTATGGCTGCTTGCTTGCATCTGATGCCTAATTAGTTGCTTGGTGCGTCCAAAGACAGGAAGGAAAGACAGCATGTACAGTTAAAGCGGTGGCAATATTGGAAAACGCGGCCCAACTGGCCTCTTAATTAATTAGGTTCCAATGTCTTGGGCTTATATTATTGTGGACTTTGAAACCCAAACTTGACGAATGGGTTGATGATCTAGTATAACTTGGGCCAGCATCCATAATATTTTGCATCCCATGATATGAACCAAGAGAATAAATATTACTCAGCTGGACTGACGGTCTTCGTTTTAGATTTTTTTCCCCTGAATTTTGCATTATGTATAAAACGTTGAAGATTAATAATGCGTTATAGTTATTTTTCCTGACAGGAAATTCAATGCAGATTTTAATTCAGCGATCGTTTCGAAGGTAGAATTGCCTTAAGTTCATGAATATCATGCCTTGCTTGCGCTTGACCTTTAACCCCCCCCCCCCCCCCCCCCCCCCCCCCCCCCCAAATTACCTCTAAATTGCATTTGTTTTGTGAGTCAAAAGTAGAATTAGTTTTTTACAGCAATAATTGTTATACAACTATTATGAGTAATTTTGAAATGTATCCAAAAAAATTGGAAAGTGCATATTAACTGAAATAATTTTAAATTAGATTTTTTTTTCACGCTGAATTGATTAAATAACTTCAAATCATAAAACGGTAGAAGTTATACAATCTACTGTGATACAAATTATTTTTTCTATCTCGGCACCAGAATTTATTATCGTTGTGATCATCATCATCACAAGACTCGGTATTAGTTGTCCTTTCCTAAGAAATTTATTCATCAACGATGTTTCTTTCACCCAAAAAAAAAAAAAATGGTAAATTAAAACTCGTAATACCATAGCCGTTGTGCCACATTCTGTTGAAAAAGAATCCAGCTGGGCCTTAGTAAGACAATGCCCAATCAGCTGAAATTGGAAATAGAATCTGCATGTCCTAGCTTGTAGGTTCACTGATTGCATGCCTTAGTATATGGGCCTATAGAGGCTGTTATTTGTGGAATCTCAAGCCCAACTGTGTACAAACGATGGAAGATTCTCCATTGATTTAAGAAAAAGGATTGGATTCTCCGAAGAAACACTAATCTCACAGCCAATTGCTTAGTGCCTGCTTACTGTAGCTTAAACCATCACAGAGTGCTTTATGAGCCATAATTTTGACATAACTTTTATGTTTTTTTACCTACATATGTATGATTGTGTACATATATACGTGTATGTATGTATGCATGCATATATGATAAGGAAATAAAAAGAAGTTATCATATATAAGAGTCTGGTAGTCTCTCCATTTTTCCTTGAAAAATGATCTAATTTTAAGATTTAAATCAATGGTTAGAATTTGATTCTACAACCAGCTAAAAACGTGCTCCAATCAATACGAAAATAAAAAAGAACATATATCCCCAGAATATGCCCTAATTAATGCAAACAAAGGTATTTTAATTTTCACATCAATAATATGAATTTTACTTAATTATAAAAATATAATATTACAACACTATTAAAATATATGTTAGAAGAACTCAATAAAAAAAAAATATTACTACTTTCTCTCCCTCTCCTTAAAAGATAGCGCACTAAATATTTCAAAAAAATACAATCCTATAACATTAAAAAAAAAAAATCTATTATAAGGTCATGAGTTCTTCCAAATCTTGTTCTCTCTCTTTATCTCATTTTAAGCCAAAAACTATTAATCATAACTATTCTTCCCACCACTACTATATAATATATATGTGGTTGTTATTTCCATACCACCGTACCGATTATCATAATTAAATTATGCAGTATTATTAGTTTTATATGTTTTATTTTTATATTTATCAAGTTAAGTTTCTAGAAAAAATTCCTTAATGTATTTTCTTAAAAATAATAAACAGTTTTCAAAAAAGTATGAATAATAAATAATAATCATTCCTTGCTTTTTAGAAAACAAAATACAGAAAAGATGAAATGGGAAGAACCATCCTAACCGTGTGTAAATCTGTTTCTCTGAGCGAATGAATTTTTGTTTAAAAAAAATGTTTATTAGAGGGGAGAAATTTTGGGATCTTACACGGACAATAAGCAACTGGCTTTATCTTGCCAGGTCCACTAATGCTAAAGCTGGCCCACGAGTCATACGGAAGTCAAATCAATTATATTCATGGCCACTTCTTCTCTGGACGGCTACAATTTTACTTGTTGAATTTAAAATAGCCCACTGCTTTCCGAAACCACACGCATTTTACATTTGTAGATTGATGCATCGCTTGACCTATCTCAAAGAAAGAAAAAAAAAACACTAAAAGGAAGATTGTAGAGGAGTATATTAAAAATAATTCTTTCTATTTTCGAAAAACAAACCAATCAGTCTGATTTAAAAATTAATTATTTAATTTTTTTTTCAGTTTTGATTATATTTAATTTAATGTTATTTTATTTCATAAATTGCTATCTTTTCTCATCAATTCCTTCAAAAAAAATTTTCTTTTTTTATTTTTTTAAAATAAAATAAATTTAAAAAGAGCAAAAATAAATAAGTTATAAGAATAAATAAAATACGAAGAATAAATTATTTTTTCAAATAAAAAAACTAATTAATTTTTTTTTGAAACTAAAAAGATTAATTAATAATTTACTCAAAGTTTATAAAATAACTTGATTACAATAACAAATATATCTTTTAAGTTGATGAATGGAAAGTGAAACTATTTTTAATCACTTAGTATGTTTTAAAAAATTGCTTATCTTTTTAATTATATCTTTTCACATGGTTAAAACTTTACGTGTAACACATCCGACCTAGGATTTAGATAAGTTGATAACATTATCGATAATGTCTCACATTTCTAATGCAATGACCTAGGATCTAGATAAGTCG